CGAGGCGTTGGCCGGGCAGGTCGGGCGGCGGCGGCTCATCCCGACGGCTGGACTTTGCTCGGCCGTCGTGGCAGAGGCTGCCGTGCCCCGCACGCCCAACACTCCCGGTGCGAGGGATCCCAGGGGACACCCAGCCCGCGGGGGACGCGGCGGTGGCGACCACCCGGCTCACCGCGTTCCTGCGCACGCTGTGGTTGAAGGCGTAGATGTGGAGCAGGTCGGCGTCCACCCAGTCGGTGTAGGTGGTGTTGAACTGGGCTTCCGTCTCGCTCACGTTCCGCCGGTGGGGCTGGGGCTGGGGCAGGACGGGCGGCGGGGGCAGCAGCAGCAGTGCCCCGGCCAGCAGCGCCCAGGCCAGCGCGGCCGCTCCGGAGCCCGGCATCCCGCCAGCATCCCCGGCCAAGGTCCGCGGGGCGGGACGGGACAGGACGGCACAGCACGGGACGGCACGGGACGGCACGGGACGGGACGGGGCGCTCAGCCGGGGCGCGCCCGGGCGCGCTGCCCCATGGCCGGGGCCGGAGCGGGGCCGCGCTGGCGCTGCGGGCGGAGCGCGGAGCCGGTGCCCGGATCCCGATCCCGATGCCGGCGCTGTCCCTCTGTCCCTTCCCGTTCCGCAGCCGCGGTAAACACGGACCGGCGGTGACGTCACTCCCGTCGCGGGTTGCAGCGCCCGGCCGGGGAAGTGACGCGGCGGGCGGGGCCGGGGGGGACCGGCCCGGCGGGGAACCCCCGCTCCGAGGGACCCGCGGGGGAAGCCCGGGGCCGTAGGGCCGCCCCTGCTCCATACGGGATCCCGCATGGGAAGCCACGTTCCATATGGGACCCCACAGGGGAAGCCGTGTCCTATAGGGGAGCCCCTACCCTGTATAGGACGCCATAGGGGAGCTCTGTCCTATATAGAACGCCATAGGGGGAGCCCTGGTTTATAGGAGTATATATAGGATTCCACAGGGGAAGCCCGGCTCCATAAAGGAGCCCCTGCTCCATATGGGACCCCACAGGGGAAGCCCTCCTCTATTGTGGAGCCCTGCCCATATACAGGACCCCATAGGGGAAGCCTGGCCCCATAGAGGAGCCCCTGCTTCAGAGGAGACCCTGTACTGGAGTCCCTGTCCCCCACCCTGCAGGGAGGTCCCAGGGCCGTGTCCATGCTCCAGACACTCACTGAGCCCCTTGCCCAGCCTGCCTGTCCCCAAAGTCCATGGGGAGACAGAATAATCCCCTGCCAGGCGATGGATGGCTCTGCCCCATCCCTTTCTCCTGATGCTCTCTGGATTCCCACAGGGGCTCCTGCAGCCTCCCTTCAGTTTGCAGCACCCCTCATCACCAGAGGCTGAAGTGATTTGGAAGTTCTCCCATGGCTGTGTTCATCGGGGAAGCAGGAATGATGCCATGCTGCATTTAGTGCGTGTCTCTGAAAACACCCCTGTCCCAGCTGCCACTGAGCCGACCACCTCCAGGCCTCTCTCTAAGGGCTCTGGGGCCTTTTTATCATGTTTTCTGTGTCTGCAATTGGGATTTTTGGTTTAAAATCCCCCTCTGAAGCGGCTCAGCCCCACATCACCTGTCACAAAGCCACTTTCTGGGCTCGCTCAGACATCCAGGACCTCTGCCGCCGGTTCCGTGGGACAAACGGCACGAGACAAGTGCTGCTGCTATTGTGCACTTTATTTCTCTGGGCCTCCTCTCCCTGAGGATCCCCCGGTTTGGACAGTCTGCACATTGTTTCCAGGTACAGGTGGTGACGCTGGTGGCAGATGGAATGACCTCAGGGACAGACGGACGCCCATGCAGGACTAGAAGCAGAACTCCAACCGACTCTGATCGAACTCGAGTCGCCTCCGTGGGATGGCCGTGAGGGGGATTGCGTGGGGATGTGCCTTCCCTGTTCCCTCCAGGGCTATTAGAGATAAACCACTCGGCAGTTGAATACAAGCCGATGTCCTGTCGAGGGCTGAAATACCGGTTCCCTTTACCTGCAGCATCACACTCACAGGACCTCAGCTCTGCACGGAGAAAGGAGGAAAAACAGACAGGAAAAAGCCCCAAACGGAGCGGGGAAAAGCAGGAATTAAATCAGGAGCGAGGATCTGGCTGAGCACAGCTCCCAGGGCCAGGGAGGGCCCTCGGTGGGAGGTTTGGCAGCACCTCCTCAGCCCCGTGGAGACAGAGCAGGAGATGCCTCAGCACGTACACACACACACACACACACACACAGGCTGCGACACGGTGGGTGAAACATTGACATTTATATTGAAATATGCACTAACAGTGAGTTCTACCAGCCGATGCATTTTTGCCAAAGCAGAATCACAATGGTTGTGTCCCGGGGAGAGGCTCGGGGCGGTGGGTGGGCAGCGAGGGGAGGGACAGGCCTTCCTCCTCATGGCTCCCATCCTGCCTCGTCCTCCCGCCCCGCACCTCACAAGACTCTGTCATTTCACATCTTCCGTTTGTTTGTTTTCTTCTCTGCTGCAATAAACACCAAACTGGGAATGCTCACTTAGAGAAGCCCTTAGTTCCAGCACAGGCCCCTCTCGAGGGACATCCAGAGCTGGAATTGAAGCTTTCCCACACGAGGCACTCGGTTTTCAGCACTAGGTAAGCGAGGAGGCAGAACCCTCTTGCTCACAACACCTCTCAGGTGAGCAGGGCAGTTTCCTGCCAGGCAGAGCCAAGTTTGAGTGGAGAAGACGCCGTCCTCCCTCTCCAGCACCAGGGACGGAGCAGAGCCGTGAGCACTGAACCAGCACAGAGCGTGGCACCTCAGCAAGCCAAGCCAAAGCAGAGCCAGCAGAGCCTCCCTGGTGACACTCCAGAGCCTCCGGAGCCTGCCAAACCTCCCGGTCCACTCGGCACCCTGCCAAAGGGGCTGACTCACAGCGGGCACAGGGTGCCGAGCGGAGAAGCCGGAGCTTTACTGGAGTACATTCCTGGTTAGCATCTCTTCAGCCAAATGCAGCAGCAGCAGCGGGAAGGGAAGCAGGGATGCACAGATTAACTAGCACACACTTGCCTTTTCTCACAAGCCTGGAGAGATGGAAAGCTCTCAGGAATGAGTTTTATCCTGGCTCCCTGAGGGGGCTGGGGGTGGGATAAGCCCTTCCCCGGGAACTCTCCACTGCAGTGTACTTTTAACATCTGATTTTCCACTTGCCCTTCCCCAATTTCTCCAGCCAGCACCTTACGGGAAGCGTGAGCAGCGTTCCCTCAAAGCCTGCCCTGCAAGGCCACGAGTGCAAAGCCAGCCTCAGGGAGCAGCATCCCTGGTCTGGATCATGGGGGCAGGATGTGATCCCTCCTCTCCCGTGGCACTCCGCAACTCCCTGCGTCTGATCCTGGCAAGGGGAACACTTCACCTTTCCTTCATCTGTGTGTAGATCACATATACTGGAAACAAAACACACACTATGCATGCAATCCAGGCAGGAATCCTGCTATGATCAAATCTACAGGAGGAGGGGGATGAGGTGGGACGTTACGGGATTCCTCAATGCTAGGTCAGAGTTACACACCAGCCCCTTGGCTACAGCAAAGGGCAGACAGACTATGTACAGTACCTATGGGCTTCAGCAAGGACCTGACACCTGAGCACCTCCCTCGGCACACAGAGGGAAGCTCTCTGTTCCTCCCAGATTTACCTGCACGTGGATCCCACGGGAAGCACAAACGCAGCGAGGCCTGTGTGGCACCACTGAGCTCCAGCTCCAGCAGGTAAGCCAGGGAAGAAGAGACTTGGTTTAAAATAGTTATCAATTTGCAAGTTATCAATTCATCCAGGGCCCTGCTTCTTGGGTCCAAACTGTTTCTTTCTGAAAGAGAACCTCTCAGTTTTAAATGAAAGGCTGTCTCACTAAAACAAGCCCTAACTACAAACAAACCAAAGTCCCACCTAGCCACAGCCCCTTAGGGGGGCACCTGCCCCTCCAGCTCCCTTGCTAGAGGTGAGGAGCAGTGTCTAGGGCAGGGAAAGCTACGCCTTAACTTCACTTTTTACTGTAAGAGGCTGTAGTTGCTCAAATAAAATGTTTATACAAGTAAACCAGTAGCAATAAAGAAATATACACCTTGGGATCTGTAAAGCTTCAGTGTGATTTGGGCCTTGTAGCCAGGGGCTGTTCATGTGGGTTTGCTTTAGAAAAAAAAGTCATACTTGATTTAAAAAAAAGAAAAAAAGGAACAAGGAACAGCACTGCAAAGACCCCTGTGGTGCAGGGACCTCAGAGGGATGTCTGTCAGTTCCAGGGAGCAAGGAAGTGACTGCCAGATTATTGGATCATTAAAATCCTACACTGAGCAACTGCTAAAAGCCAGCGACCCCACAGGCAGCAGGAGCAGGGCAGAGCAGCAGCACCGGAACAGGAGTGTTCCCAGGAGAGCTGCGTGGGAGGGAAGGAAGGTGCCCCCGGGAGAGCTGCGTGGGAGGGAAGATGCCCTGGCTAGCAGGCATGGGGAGACAAGCATGAGACAAGCACCTGGGAGTGTTGCACGAGCTCAGGTAACCGTTTGCTTCTTTAAATTTCTGAATTCCAGTTTCATGCTGCTTCAGAAAGGAGTGAGAAAACAACACATTTCATTTAAACCCCCCAGTAAAAAAAAAACAAACGACAAAAAAAAAAAAAAAAAAATCAAAAAAACCCCAAACCTCTAAAAAGGTGGGACCGAGTTTGGAAAAATGCATCTGTTCTGGCTTTTGCAAGTGGAATGTGATTCTTGTTCCCAGGCAAATACACAGAGCACGATGGCTACAGCCAGGAATGGTGAGCCAGGCGTGGTGTCGGACAGGCTACAAGGGGTTCTAGGACAACCACAGAGCAACAAGACATGAGAGGGGCACAGAGTGACAGTCCTGTTCTCGTTTTAAATGAGGAATGGTTTAAAAGTAAAACTTCTTCTTCAGCTAATTTCCTCCTGCAATAAAACCAACCAAGCCGGCCCTTGTATGTACAAGACCAGTTAAACACGAGCCTTCCCCCTCAAAACACTAGGTACGGACATCCGGTAACATTCTATAATGGAAAGTGCTTTAAGAAAGAAGGATTCTGTAGTGCCAGTGACAGAACTGATCTGATGGGCTGGATGATGCTCTCGGCGCCGACATCAGTGGCTCAGGCCAGGGCAGCTCGTTTCTCCTCGGGGGTCTCCTCCAGCAGCTGCATGATCAGTTCGTGGAGGGGCTTGCAGACCTTGGCGTACCCCCCGCCCGTCAGGTGCAGGAAATCGAACATGTCGTGGTAGGAGATGGTGCCATCCGAGTGCACGAAGCCCACGTCCACGTCCAGCAGCTGGACGTTGGGCAGCTTGGGGAGCGAGGCTTTGAGCAGGTTGTTCACCTTGGCGTTCTTCTGCCGCAGCGGGTTTGGCTTCTCTCCACGAGGTAGCAGACCCTGGCACAAGGAGGAGGCAAAAAAAGTGCTCTGCATGACTCTGATGGCAACAGGAGGCCTGCTTTCCCTTCCAACTTGGGCTGCCTGTCAAGATTCAGGATATCTGTGACAAGAGGAACTCATCCCTTGAATCAGAATTTGCCCGTCCAGACCTAATGTGAAATGCAGATGAGCTACAAGCGTGACTGGCAGGGCACCTGTTTTCTTTTAATTTTTAAATATAACAACTTCTGTTCTTTTGGGCTTTTTTCCTGCCATTGCCCAGCTCCTCAGCAAGAGAGGCAGCAGCTAAGCTGTTAGGATAAAGAAGCCAACTAGGATTTGGGCACTTATCTTCCCCTCACAGGACTTCCTCAGCAACACTTCGGAGTGGCATAGTTAACGGGATGAGTCCACCCACCTCTGGAAGGGCCAGAGGAGGGCTCCTGCAAAGCCAAGCCAGCGGAGGGCTCCTGCAAAGCCAAGCCAGCAAGGAGAGGCATAAAGCAAAGGACAGATAAAGTGACTGCTCCTGGAGACGTACCAGTACAATGACTTTGGCCTGTGGCTGCTGGGTGTTTATCAGGCGCACGATGGCCTCGATCCCCCCTGCTACTTCTTCTGCTGTGTTTTCATGATTATTTGTTCCAACCCAAACAACAATGACCTACAAAGAGAAAAAAAAAAAGAATGTTTGCAGCTTTTCCAGAGCAAGTTTTAACGGGCTGATGACCCTGAAATCCCTGCATAAACACCATCGGTGGCTGGTGAGCTGCAGGGAGGGTCGGGCTTAAGGTTGAACTCAGGCTGACAGAGTTTAGCTCTGGGCAGGCAATGCCCACTGCTCTCGGGGAAGACACTGTCCAGGGCTGCAACTGCAGGTGCAGAGAGGGCAGGTGACCTTCACTGCACACCTGAACATCTTCCCCAACTCTGCAGTGAATACTTCTCATCCCTTTCCAGAGGGCATGGATACAGCTCAGGCCCAAGAGGCGGCTGCAACTCCAAGCTACACCTGGCACAGGTAAATCACAGAATCACAGAATGGCCTGAGTTGGAAGGCCATTCTCTCTTTCAGTTTGAAGCCATTCCCCCCCTGCTCTGCTCCCAAGCACACCCCAATGCCTGGAGCACCCAGTGCCAGCAGGTGCTCAGACAAAAAAGTCCATCTGCTCCCTGAGTTCTGCCCCACTCTGTCTCCCCTCGGTCAGCACAGGGCTGCCCAGTTGGGTTCTCTGCTGGTACCTTGGGTTTAATGTTCTCCAGTTCACCGTTCTTCAGTCTCCATAGAACATGTCCCGTGGTGTCTCCACCAATCCCAAAATTCAGTGCATGGAGTGGTGAGAAGAGCTCTCGCCATATCTGTAAGCAGAAATCAAGGTGCTGTTTCAGAGCAGCATCCTGACTGTGAAGGGAACACACTGCACTGAGTTAATGGGAGCCCTTCTCTCGCAACTCACTCCACAAAGGGCATTTAGACACAGGACGAGGCTTTACAGAGCTGCTGATGTTCAATCTCTCAGACCTGGCACAAAGGGGAAGACTTCCTGAGCAGTGATTTGCCCAACTCAGCAGAGACCCAGAGCGCTGATCTGTTCCAGACTTAGGCACGGGGCCTCTGAAGAAGGAATCTGTGACCTGATTAAATCCTTTTCATCCCCAGGTAACAAAACTAGAACAAAGGGAAGCAGCTCTTGCAGAACAAAGCTGCTCAGCCACCACCACGGTGGAGCAGAGCTCTTCTTTGCCCCAAGAGCCAAAAAGCCACTGCTCTTCTCTGCCCCGGCAGTTTTAGGGAGAAGCCAGTGTGCCAATGCCTCAGGCACCCTGAGTGCTATGGGATCAAATGTAGGGGACACCAGGGACACCCACAGGGGATGTGATGGGAGGCTGGAATCTGAGAACCAAGGGGCTCTGTATGTGTGCCAAAATGAAGGCAGCTGGCCCCAGAGAAGGAGACAAACAGCTCAGGGAGGTCAAGCGGCCACGTAAAGCCGTGCCCAGGCACTGCTTTTAGGAAGCAGGGCAGGAACGCCTCGGGAGACAGCAGTGAAATGGGAACAGAGGGAATCATCAGTATTGCACGTGATCACCAGCTCCTGGGTTAGCGAGAGACACACTCCAGCTCCTCCAGCCCACTTTTCTCCCCCCTTCATCCCTACCTCGTACTGCTGTAGCAACTGCACCATGGAGTCCCCCACGAAGAGCACGTCGGGCTCCTTGTCTTTGCAGTCCAGGACAAACCGATTGTGCTGTGAGAGAGGAGCAGCATGGTGGCAATTCCTGCTGGGCATCTATCCCTGCTGCAGGGCAGGGACAGCTGCCCAGCTGGCCTCCCCTGCTGCCATTCCCCCGCGCCCTTCCCTGCGTTAACCCGCCCTCCTCTTGGCGCTGCTTGGAGACGTTTACACGGCTGGATGAGATCCCCTCTCAGTCTTCTCTGGACTAAGCAGGCCCAGCTCCCACAGTCCCTCCCCATCAGAGAGATGCTCCAGACCCCTCCTCCCTTGCTCCATCATGACAGGACACACAGGTAGGACACACAACTGGGCTGTTGTGGCCTCAGGGTCACAAGTGTGACCAGGGATGGGGATCCCCCCTCCCAGGGCTCCCTGTGCCCCTCCAGCCTCACCTGTGACATCCACCTGTCATCCCCCTGGATGTCCTCAGCGGCATGTGGCACTGCTGCCGGGTTGGAGTCCCCCATGCCCATCCTGTTCCTGTGGAAAGAACGGTTCCCACACCAGCTGCTTCCAGCAGTGCCATGGCTGGGAAATAAGGGCTGCCTGGCTGCTGGAAAACACTGTCCTTCCTGACATCCACAGTTCCTGTGCGCACTGGTGGCTGGCTGACAACAACAACAGGGATGTTATTCCATGCATCTGGCATTCCCCCTGGAGCCATGGACTGGAAAACAAAGGCCAGCTCCAAGGATGCTCTGCAGACCCACACCTGAGCTTTAATAACCTGACAGCAAACACGGATACTTTGGGGATTAGCCCCTATTAATGTCCAGAGATCCAGCTTACAGCCACTGAGCTCCATAGCCCAGGTGGATAATCTGGCTCCAGGAGCAGCGGGATTGATCCCAGAATCACAGAATGGCTGGGGCTGGAAGGCACCTCTGGGGATCACCCTGTCCAAGGCAGGGCCACCTGGAGCAGGTGACACAGGAGCACATCCAGGTGGGCTTGGGATGTCTCCAGAGAGGGACACTCCACGGCCTCCCTGGGCAGCCGTTCCAGCGCTCTGGAAAGAAGCGCTTCCTCACGGTTTGGTTCCGATTGTGGCCGTGTCGCCGAACAGAGCGTGGCACCGCGCTCTGAGCACCCCCAGGAGGTACCTGTGTGGCCTGACGGCATCCACTCTCAGTCTTTTCTCCGGACTAACCAGGCCCAGCTCCCGCACGGGAGACGCTCCAGCCCCCTCACCGTCCCTGTGGATCCCGCGGGAATTACCGCAGGAGGAGCCGCGGGACGATGGGCTCACACCCACCGCGGCGGGCTGGGCTCAGCGGGGCGGCTCCCTCCGCGCCGCGCTCCGCTCCCTCCCGCTCCCCGCGCTCCCCGCGCCGGTGCTCCGCCATGCCCCCGCCGCGCCGGGCCCTCCCCGCGGGTGCCCCCCGCACTCACGGCGGCTGCGGCTCCTTCCCCCGCGACTCCATGGCGGGCGCGTCCCCTGCGCTCGGCCCCGCGCGCCTGCGCCGCCCGCGCCGCCGCTTCCGCTTCCGCCCCGCGCGCCAGGGGAAGGCCCGCCCGCCCCGAAATGACGTCATTGCACGGAACTGTGACGTCACACCGCCATCCTCGAGGGGAGGCGCGACCCGGCCCCGTGTGCGTGTGTGTGTGTGTGTCTGTCTGTCTGTCTGATGTCCCCGCGGGGAGTGACGTCACGAGGAGCGAGCTTGCGGCGTTTCGCCCCATGACGTAATCGCGCCGCCCCGTGACGTCACTCTGCCGAGAGGAGGGGGGCCCCAAACGCAGCGATGTCACGAAAACAAGTTTCCTCCACGACTGGCGGGTTTCCCCCATCTCTCTTCTCCCCGTTTCCTCGCGGGGTTTCCCCCCAAAACCGCGGCGCCTCCCGCCCCGCGGCCGTGACGTCACTTCACCGCTCTCCGACGTCTCTCTCCCCGCCGGGGCGAGGCTCGGGAGCGCGGTCCTTGACGCAGTGACGTCACGAGCACCAAGAATCCCGTTCCCGGCGGGTTTCTCCCCAAAACCGTCCGCCGCGCTCCCTCCGTCGGCCGCGCGGGGGCGCCGCGCGCCGCTGACGTCAGCCGTGACGTCGGGGCCCCGCCCCCGTTGCCATGGCAGCGGCCGCCCCCCCGGCGCCCCCCCGCGGATGAGCTCACGCGGTGCCGCAGCCCCGCGGGGGGGGTTCGCTCCGCGCGACAAGATGGCGGCGGCGGCGGCTGCGGGAGGAGGCGGCGGCGGCGGCGGAGCGGGGGGTCCCCCCGCGGCCCCCCGGCTCTCCCCGGCCCCGCCGCCCCCGCGGCCCCCCGGGCCCGCCCGCATCGGCTACTACGAGATCGAGCGCACCATCGGCAAGGGCAACTTCGCCGTGGTGAAGCTCGCCACGCACCTGGTGACCCGCGCCAAGGTGAGCCCGGCGCGCACCCCCCGGGCGGGTGCGGAGGGCGGCGGGGGGGTGGCCGCGAGCTCCCCCCTGGCCGGGCGGGCCCGGGGCCGCTGTCAGCGGGGGGTCCCCGCGGGTCCCCGCCGCGCCGGGATAACGTGGAGGTGGAGCGGGGGGGATGCGCCCGCGGTACCCGGGATGCGCCCCTGGAGCCGGGGGGGACGCGGAGGTGGGGCGGGGGCAGGTCGTTTCTTACCGAAGCGGGGAGAAAACGATCGTGGCCGAGCGTTCCCAGGGCCGTGAGAAACCGCAGGAAGGGCCTCCCGAGGGAGCGGCGGATCCAGGTGGATCCAGGTGCGGCCGCGCTTCCAGGTGAGCCCCGGAGCGCGGCGGGAGCTCCGCGTGGATCCGGGTGCGGGCGAGCCCCGGGACGCGGCGGGAGATCCGCGGCACCGGCGCTGTGCTCGTGATTCCGCCCGTGACACCGAGCTCCCCGAGAGGGCTCGTCTTCCTGCATGCACCAGTGCCACACCGGAATCCTGCCCGGGAACTGCAGCAGGATGGGAGCGGGGCAGCGCTGGGCAGGCAGCGGACAGGCCGCGGGCACAGCCCCGCTCGGGGCTCCCGGGAGGCGCCGCAGGGGCTGCCCGGGGTGTCCCTGGTCAGTTTCCCGGTGACATTGTGTGGAAACTGACCAGGGGAAAGTGACCGTGGCGCGGGTTTGCGGGAGCTCCGGCTCTGCGCCGGGGAACAAAGTGAGAGTCATTGCAGGGGCTGCTTAAAAATCGGTTGTTGCACCTCCTGGACAGTTCTTTTCAGGGCTGGGCTGTATTTGCTTGCCCTGTGCCTCCAAGTGCTCGATACCACAATTTAACCTGCGCTTCAGCTGTTCTGTGCTGTTGTTCTCCCCCTGATAAACCTGAACCTCGCTGATAGAAACAGGGTGATGGGTTCAGGTGCTTGGAGTGCACTGATCCCCCTGAGTGGACATCGCTCCTGAAGAAACAGTGATCCAACTCCAAGCTGTTTTCCTGTTCCTGTTTCCAAGCCTCCCTCGTTGGGTCAAGGTTTCTTTTCAATGGTGCTGACTCTGAAGTTTGCAAAATACCAAAGCAGAGACCATGTTTTGCATGGAAATAGTTGATTTTGTCTGAAGCATGCACTAAAGTTTTGTCTGGGAATCGTGTCCCGCATTGGCAGGGCCAAGGCTGGATTTTGCACATTGTTTGTGGGTGATGGAAGAGGATGCTAAGCTTGGAAAACTTGTGCTATGCTTAACAGCAGCGTACACTCATTCCTGCTGCCCTGGGGTGACCAAGGGCAGGTTGTGGGCCTTGGGAAGCAGCACAGCTCCTTTCTGGTGGGTTGGTGAGGTGCTGGTGGGCTCTGGAGTGTGTGGTGGGTTGGGGTGTGACACGTTAGCCTGCAGCGAGGAGATCCTGTCCCTGTCCCTCTGAGCTCCGAGGGCTCCCCGAGCCCGGGGAAATACCTGTGCTGCAACAACTGCCATCTGTTCCACTGAGCTGGGATAGCTTGGAGCTGAAACTTGACCTGGAAGCTTTCTCAGCTCCAAGGTCGGGTTTCCTTTCAAATCCCAGCCTGTGGAAAGGAGTGCGAGCGAGTGGATTGGATTCTGCCTGCAAACCCAGAGCACTGTGGGTTCAGTACTTTTCCTTCGTTGACAGGACTGTTGCTGTTGGCTCTGGGAAAGGAGTAGGAAAGGAGAGAGGAGCTGCTTGGTTCAGGCTCTGGGATTCAGGGGGTTAGAGGGGAGGTGTCAGAAATGTGTTGGAAAGGACGAATCCGTATAGGAAGGCATTTTCGACTGGCAGCAGGAATACAAAATAATGCTACCGCGAGCTTGTCTTCATCACAGTTACACTTTTAACACTTAATGGAAACAACTTGGAAGCAAGCAAAACCTTGGCAAAACGGTCCCATTTAGGGATCTGAAAGAATTCTTTGATCACGGAACGCAAATGCAGCCCCGTTGCTGTGTGTGCTGGCAGTCCCTTCCTGAGGTGATCCCTCTCTCCCAGTAGTGGCTGCGTAGGAGAACCGGGCAGTTCAAATATAGCCACCAAATCCCTGCACAAACTTGACCCCGTGTCACATTCTCTCAGAGAAAAGCTGGTTTGCTCGTCACGGCCCCTCCTTGGGAACCGCGCTTGTCCGGTGTCTCAGAAGGAATTCCACTGTGAATGTCTGTGTGAGCTTGGAAATAGATTGTACCCTGTGTTTTTGGGCCTCTTCCAGGAGGTGAAATTAATGACGGTGTAGGCTGGTGTCCATTGCTGAGCCTGGAATTAAAGGTGGTCTATTGATTAGGTGTTGGAGCCTGTTTTCCTTTCCGATGGACATTTACCAGGTCAAGTGGACTTTGACATGACAGTTGGAGATAACAGCCTGAGCATTCCTGGCTTGTGTCCCCTTTTCCCTTAAAAGAGAAGCGAGGGAGTAGTTTGGTGCCTGGTCTGATATTAAAGGAGTGGGATTTTCCTGGCCCTTTGGAAGTCGAGCACTGCGTTTATTTAGGGAGAGGAGGAGAGCGTGAGCTGTGTGTGCCTGGCCCTGCTGGGCTGGCACATTCTGCTGACACCGAACGTTGCAGTTTACATAGAACTGCATTTCAGGAGCTGAATGTGGGTCAGCAGTGCTGGGGACACTGAGGAAAGGGAATGTTAATCATCCCAAAGGGCAGGAGGCCTGTATTCATAATTGTCTCTGCTGGAGCTGATGGAATAGAAGGGAACAGTCGGCAATTTACGTATTAACCAAGGCAGCAATTTACATTCAGTCCCTGCCCATGCAAAGTTGGACTCTTGTGCTCTGTCAGAGCTGCTCCGGTGGCTGGGCAGGAGCTGGAGGTGCTGCTCTGACTGGGATGAACTGGGCACCTGCAGGATATCTTGCTGCATCCTCCCTCCTGTCCCCCTCGCCTTTGTCTCTTCTCAGCTTTCACAAGAAACCCTTTCTTGCTTCTGTGCTAAAAATCTTCTGAGTGACCCGCTGAATGAATTGTTTTCCACAGAATTTCCATTTATAAATCATCCAAGTGACTTCATTAGAATTCCAGCTCTGTCCAGGCGCTGGGGTTGTTTTTAATGCCACATTTTTTCATAAGGGCTGGTCAGGGAATGTTCACAGAGAGGACTTCATGAGTGCACCGTGGAGCACAGATTGTGCTCTTTGGATGCTCCGTTTCAGCCTTCAGGAGCTGCTGGGGATGAGGAGGGAGGAGAGGGACCACTGTGGCTGCTGGGCAGCGTTGAGAGCTCCCTGCTGTCCTTGTTCCTTCCCTTGCACCATCTCGGAGACAGGAGACCCAGCTGGAGTGTGGAGTGCTGTGTTCCTGCCGTGGCTGCACTGCACTCATGGGGCGTTTCGTTGGGAGATGAGGAGTCATTTTCACCCCCATCTTTCTCGTGGAGATTGGAATTGACAGTCCTGGGAGAACACAGCTCCCTCCCAAGTGCCGTGATCTTCCCACTGGGCTGCCTTAGCTTCTTCCAGGCTGGTTGTCCACTTTTGAGTTATTTTCAATAATAGCTGGTAGGGAGCAAAGCTCAGAGCAGGTTTCACTGACTGTGTGTGGTGGGATCCTGTTAAAGGGGGTACCTAGAGTTGTTTTAGTGGATAGTAACCCAAGTCCATGATGCTTTAATCCTCGGCAGAACACAGCCCTTCTCTCAGCACAGGAGCACTGCAGAAAGGCTGGAATCGAGCTGATTTTTTTTGTAGGTTTTTAACGAGCTAAGCTTTTCCTGGAGAATGGGAGGCAGCTCTGCTCTAACTTGGAGGGGATGTTCCCTTCCATGAGAGAACTGGCTTAGTTTCTGTGGTTTGTCTTTGGGTGAGTTGGAGTCATCAGCGGAACACATTTTGCACCGGAGTTCTTGGAGGTGGGCACTGTGGCACTTAAACCCAGGATAAAAAGTGGGCTGGTAGACTTCATGGATCATTGGGTTTGGCCTGGCACACTCTGGGGGCCCAACGAGAACCTGCCTGGATTTCTCTCCTCACGTGCAGAGCGCGCTCAGCCCAGTGGGTGGAAAAGCCTCGGTGGCTGCTGTGTCCTGCTCCTCCCGATCCCCGGCGTGTGGCAGCGAGGCGCGTGGCTCCGGGATGACTGTGGATTGCTCCCTCCAGCAGCGTGCCCGT